GATAATTCATATTTAAGAGGGAAATCTCTTTTTTCTCATTGGCACTTCATGTGTTAGCCTTTTCTAGAAACAGCCTAATATACTGTGTGTGTATGTGTGTGTATATACACACACATATTGCTTAATCAAATATCTGTGCTTCATTTTCATGGTCAAGTTGATACAATGAAGAAAGAATCCCAAATGTCCATAACTCACCAACACCTTGAATCATTAAAAGTCCATCCAAATGTATGCATCTGTGAAGGCTGTGTCACTTCGCCAATATTCTTTTAACTGGAGAAAAAAAATCACAGAGTAAATTGAATTCCTTTATGATTCATTTTCATTTTTATTTGAAATAGCTAATATTTCTACCTTAATCGTTTTATATTGTAACTTTCCTGGGTCTTTATTCTCTTTCATCTCCATTTTAGACTCCAATCACTGACTTTAAACTGAGTTCAAGTACTCTCTATGTCGCTCTCTATCCCTGATATTCCTTCATGTTGTAAGAACTAGAACACAGCTTTCATTCATAGACCAACATAGTCCATCCCCAAATGAACAGACTAACATAACTCACTCACAGTCTGCTGTGCTTTCTTAATTCCTTATAACAGTCAGTGTTATCAGCCAGTCTTTTTGTCAAGGTCAGCATCAAATAAGATGTATTGCATTTTCTTCTTCGCTTATTTATTGTGCAATATATATTTAATATCAATAAATATATTGCCTTTGGTATTCTGTCTTGGCACTGCAGATATGGAGCTTCAAGCTCCCGTTAATACTAACAAAAACAATATCAATTTCCTTCTAAGTTTTGTTTCTCCTGAATCTCATTTTTCCTATCAAAGGATTAACTTTCCTCAGTTTTTCAGTACAGATCTGCTCTCTAGATATTTTCACTTCCCATTACTTACCATACTGCACTGCAAGGCTTTTCTTTTCCCACACGCTTTTCTCATCAGATTTTAGTAGTCCAGGTCTTGCCTTTCTCTTGACCTGGGTTCGCTCACAGATAATATGCTAAGAACACTGTAACGGAGGTGACTCCATGCACAACGTGTGCTTCCTGGTTAATAATACTGAGCCAATTTACTGGGGGAAATGTGTTCAAATGTGAACTCTATTTTCCAACTCCCACATAACTGATATGACTAGTTACCAATGATGATATTTTAGTATATCATTCTTAGAGAAGATGAAGCGGGATCCTAACTAGTCTTAACAATAAAACCCTGGAGTCGGATATCAAGGTAAATGCTGAAAGATTAGAGAAGCAAAGGCCCAGCCGCAGTCAGTCTAGGAATCCTCAGAATGAATGGGCAGCTGCGATCCTCTCTCTATGAATTCTCTGATTGAATGGGCCAGAGTTCCTGTCTCTCCCTCCGTAGTACTGGGATTAAAGGACTGTGACTGCCAGGTACTGTGATCAAAGGCAAGAGATCCCAAGTACTGGGAGGAAAGGTGTGAGTCACAACTTTCAGACTGTTTCTCTTTTAGACTGGCTCAATCTCAGGTAGCCCAGGGTATACTTGAACTTCTGATCTTATTGCTTCCTCCTCTCAGTTGCTAAGATTAAAGGTATGTGCCACCATCATTGTCTGGCCTCTGTGGTTGACTAGTGTCTAGTTCTGCCCTCTGATCTCCAGGCAAGCTTTATTTGTCAGAATACATACAACATTTATCTTACAAAATTGCTTCATTTTAATAACCACCATTTCTTAGCACAAAACTCAAAAGTACTGTTTTTTTCTCAAGAAAGAAAAGAAACACAAATAATTAAGGCAATTGCAGAGTGCGTAAACAAATAATTAGAGCAAAAACAAAAAACCCATTTGAGCCAGGGACATAGCTCAAATTTCCAAGATGAATAGGCTTAGCTGTTTAAGTAGCCATGATATGCACAAGGCTTCTTTATATAAATCTGTGTAAGTATCTTGGGATTGTTTATTTTATCCAATTTATATGTCAATGATTTTTCCCATTTTTTGCATAGTCAGTCAATTTATTTCTATGAAATTGAATTAAGTGCTGAAAGAAAATTCAATCAAGAAGTTTCCCCTCCAGCACTCTGTCTTTCCCATAATGCATTAGAAACTCGTGAGATGAATTTTTATATGTAAAGTGCTAACAAGTATGAGATTTACATTTTTTATCTTCTTAGAACAAATTCCTATGAAGATATACAATATATGACAGGGGATAGAGTTCAATAATTGCTCATATTTATCTTGCTGTCTAATAAAGAAAAGTTTTTATTTTCTGCCTGGAACTTAGTATTCAGTGTGCTTGCCCCATGGACCAACTTCATCAATATCACTTGTGGTTTGTAGGGCATCTCCTATGTTAAGTATTGATTGCCCCAAATAATGTCAAAATTTGTGAAACACAGTTCAAGTTGATGAAGGCAAACTAAAGAACAGCTTTAAAGAGAATTTCAAATAATTTGTCATACTCCTTAAGTTTAAGTAAAATATTTCTGTGATTTACAACTTCTGTGAATAGTATAATCATTTGCCCCATTTGTCTATTGTATTAGAGGTAAAAAAAAGACAGAGTTTTATTTTTAATCTAGGTGTTATATTGGTTAAGAACTTTCCATCTGAAAATAATAATAAAAAAGAAAAAGACTGTGCTTAAGTAGTAAGTAAGACACAATAGTACAAGTTAGGGCACGCCTGTGTGGACAGGGGCTGGACTTACTCCCCTGAACTGTTTCATCCAGAAGTCAGTAAAAGAGTCCAGTAAAACTGAGAGGCGTTCTAACAACAAAGTTATTATCACAGACTAGAAATGTTTATCTTGTGGACAACAATAAGACAAAACAAAAAAGAAAGAAACTTTCTTTGTAGAATTTTTCAATGGATTCCTTGTTAAAGTTAATTTTTGATTGAAGTTACATGCTCTCCAACCCAAAGAATCACTATTCCGAGAATATTCTGAAACAATGAATGTCAAGGGGATGGAACTATTCAGTTTGTTGTCTTGGAACCTTCTCACAAACGGTTTCTCAAGTTATTAATCAATTGGCGGTGGAAGAGCAGAAGCACATATTAAGAAACCGGTTACAATGTTGTAGTAATTTCAGGTACTTTATTTAACTTTCAAATGTGTCTCTTTTTATCCCTCTTGTCATATTGCCAAGAGACCTGATGCTCTTATTAGTAATCTACCCGAACAGCTCTGTTGCTCTTCTTAGTTTTGGTCACATGAACATCTAATAATCATTTAAATATATCAGTTTAATTGTGATCTCAAAAAAAGGAAAATTCCATGCACAAAATAGACATGGAAGTTTTATTTACAAATAATTATCACTGTTGAATTTTCCAAATTATGATCAGAAGTCACTAATTGTTCAGTTAAAAGTTTTTAAGGTATGTTCCTTTCTTCTTGGCATTAAAATGTTCTTTGATCTCATTTTGAATCTTGAAGTACAAGATTAATGAGCAATGCCTATAAAAGTTAGTGGACATAATTGTAAAAGAATCTAAGGAAGTTATTTACCACTGGAATTTGTCTCAGTCAATAGGAACCATTTACATAAAATAATATACGTTGGATATGTTTCATTCTTTATTATACAGAAACACATACATGAAATGTTGAAGATACACACAGTGGTTTATTTATTTTCCTTTTAAAAATAAATCATTCCTCACCTCTCCAGATTCCATCAGCTCTTCCCTGCCTAGTGTCTGCCGCCCCATGAGGAAGATTTTCTACCTATTTAAGTCTATAGTAATTGCTATTTTTCTGACTGTCTAAAGCCCATAACAACTAGGTGTTTGTACCCAGAAGGCTTGCGAAGGACAATATTTTGAAAATATAACTGCTAAGAGCACAATAAAATCGAAATACTTACTTATGGTAAAGTTTGGAGCATAGATGTAACCAAGGAAAAAGGTAATTTTTATAAAATGTATCCAAATGATTGTGTTATTATCTTCATTCTTGTGACACTAATTTTGATTATAATCTTGGTCAGACTGAGATACATTTTGAACATTGGTAAAGAACATATTTGTGTGTGCCTGTGAAACATTTTCAGGAAGGAAAGACTAACTAGGGAAACCCATCCATTGTGCCATGGAAAACAGTGCAAATAAAGTCTAAGGTTTAAAGATAAAGGGGTAGCTACTGAGAGTGTTCTATTCTGCTTCTCCATCATGGTGAAGGGACTGAATCTTCTAAAACTAGAACCTGAAATAAATCTTTCTTCTTCTAACATTTTCTTCTCAGGTGTTTGGTCATAACAACAAAAGAACCTATCAGTACAGAGCACTGGTACAAAAATAAAAAAAAATGCACTACAGTTTGAAGACAGAGCTTAATGGATTGTTCTGCTGGTAGTTCTGAATAGAGAAAAGATGGGAGGAAAACTTATGCACATGAGGTTACAGATGAAACCAAGCATTCTCTGGAGAATTAGAATAGAAAAGCATTCTTTTGGTTCATGGGGGAAAAAAAACTTGTCTGTCCTCTATACATGGCTTGTAACTCTGTGGTAGGCTGTATATAAAAATGGCAGACTAATTGCTATGAGCGAAGAAAATTTCGTGTTGTAGGATGAGTATAACTGGCTGATTTTAGCTTAAGTTTAAAGTAATTTACAAGAAAAAATATTGATCAGAAGAACTTTCAAGACAGGCAGTTTGCCCTGAAAAGGAGTATATTACCTATTGCCAAAGAAGGTGTGGTTTCTAGAAATTAAAGCAATTATAAAGAAACCAAGTTTGTTTCTTGTTTTAAGACAATGGGCAAAATGCCTTGAGGGTATGTCAGAATGAGCCAAGAAGGATCCAAGGGTAAAGAATAAAGTAATTTAACACTTAGAAAACAATGACCTTGGAAAAAAATTTTTTACATAAAATCTCCTAGGAAATTCCTTTCTACAGGATTTATTTACTGTGTTCAGCTACTAGCCACTCAATGACACCTCTAGCCACTGTCCAAGAGAACCCAGCTACATCTTAACCTTGATATTGTCAATGAGATGCTCTTTTTACAAACAGGCAGAACTGAGTCAGTCTTGAAGGTTTGTAGCAACGTTTCAGAAGAAGAACAACCTATGACAAGGGAATAATTTCTGCTGGAAGCCCTGGAGAAAAAGATATGAGAAACAAGCCTAAGTGATAACTGAGTCCCCAGGAGGATGGAGATGCCAGGAATGTATAGTGTCCACCAATGTAAGTCACCAGCCAACATGTAGATCTAGTCTAAAGGAAAGGTTGTTTATACTGTGAATGGAAATGATGAAGAAGTAGGTCTTCCCAAGCCCACTGGAACTCATATGAAAATACCACATGCGACAGATGTCAGTCATTTCATTACAGACTACAGTGTTTACCTAGTGTGTTAAGGTCTTGCTTTGGTCTCATTCTTCCTGGTGATCCCCTGATTCCTCTCTTTGGAAATGTAAATGATTTCTCCATTTTATTTTATTTTGCAAATATGGAACTCTAATTTTGAATTTAAGTCTCATTAGTTAGAGTTCCCCTTTTCTGTCAGAGATGGGTGAAGTTGGCTTCTAGAAGTATTGGAACTTCTGATACTGTGAGAGGTCTCAGTGGTGAAATGGACAGATTTCACACTGTGGATAGCTCAGAGCCTTCTGTAGGACAGGAATGAAATGAAGGGTTTAAGATATGCTTGGCTTTCCCCTAATATAAATAAAAGTGCTATAGTCAAAGAGTTTTGTATTGCTATAACCACTAACTGGCATTATAATTATAGTGTCAAACATGAGGGAAGAGTGAAGCTATTAGTGTTTTACTCCTTGGAAGCCTGGGGATAGGGCATCAATAAAGATCCCATGAAAGATGAAGCCTGGAGATGTTGAATTCCAGTCTCTCTCTCTCTCTCTCTCTCTCTCTCTCTCTCTCTCTCTCTCTCTCTCTCTGCCTGCCTTCTGTAATTCATACAGTCTCTAAGATACAAAGACAGAAAAGAAACATATTTAAATGTATTTAAAGCAGCGGGAAAAAAGTTCTAATTTATTAAAACACAAAGTAATATCTCCCTGGAAAAGCTATTAACTAAGAGATATATTTTGAGGGTCATTTGCTGGAGAAATGTTGAGGTAGGTAAAGATCTATATTAAAAATCAACAGACCTAAATTGTAGTCTTACCTATGTTCAAGAGCTTAAGAATTCTTTCAGTTATAGAGACATGTTGAGTGTATTTGACTTTGAATAAAATGTTATCCTAGAATTCACTTCAGGAATGCATACATTAAAATTGAAAGGGTACAGAGAAAAGTTAGCAGTATGGGAAAGAATGGTGGTCAAATTCTTCAAGTGTATTTTTTTTAATGTGCCTACACTAGTTATGGTGACACGTTCTTAAATTTAGCACTTGAGAGACTGGCTCAGGAGGATCAAGTGTCTGAGGTCTTCTAGGCTTCATAGAGAGATGTTTCAAAATTGAAAACATAGAAGCTAAAGATGGAATCACAAATCCATTTTATCTGTGACTGAAAACATATAAGGCTTATATTTCTCTTGACTTCACTTTCAAGAAAATCCAAATCTAATTCACAATTTGATTGTGATTCTGGATGACAAAGACATCACCAAATCAGGTCACATTTCCCTTTGTCTTCTACTGTGTTTTCTGCTCTGAGCCATTGCATGATCTAAAAATGTGTTTCCCAGTATAGACACTTTCCCTTTTATTCTGTATAATAATAATAATAATAATAATAATAATAATAATAATAATAATAATAATAATAATTTCCCAGAACATCAGAAAGATTAGGGAAATTTACTCTACACAGAATTGGCTCCACATAATGATCACATTGAATAGAGTATAACAGCCAACATTGATCCTGGGTCAGGCAACCTAGCCTTGAGAGCAGAATGAGAACTAGCTTTTCTTAAGCTACATGGACTCTCAGTGGGAAATGGGATCATGAAAACAGTAATAGAAGATGCGGATTCACATCCAACCACAGAAAACATCTTCATAAAAGGACTGACTATGAAAGGCTAAACTTTATAAACTTTTAAAATGGTAAAGCTTGAAAAGATAGCAGCAAAAATGAGAGAGCACAAATAAAATACTGAGGCCACTGTAATGTAGATATTAGACATTGCTATTAGGCATGCTTTAAAATAATTTTTGTATTGTAACGCAATCATGTCATCCTTTCACATAAAAGTATTATGTGCTATCGGGAACCCAGCAAAACACCAAGAAAATCTTGGTAATTAAGGATGCCATATAAAATTTGAATTTGGAATTTAATGTCAGAAAGTGAGTCATACAAGAAACAAATGGAATATTTTTCAAGGGCTTTTTGAATGTCTTAGAGAGAACAATGAATTTTGTACAATATTTCTTGTCACCTGGAACCCATGAAATTTTGTGTTACAAATTATAATTTCATCAATTATCCCTTTCCTTCTTTTCCTTCAGACCCTGTATTCTTCGCCAAGCACCTATGAAGACTTCTCAATGAATGCACTTTAGCTGCCTCTGTCAAAGGAGCAGTATTAAAAACATTCATGCCATGCTTGCTGCAGCGAATGGAAACATATTTATACTCACTGTATTTGCATTAATTGTGGTCCTTGTGTTGATAACCTTACTTGCTTTAATAAACAGCAATTTGTTTTGTTTTCAACACGGTGCTAAGCATATTATAGTCAAAGAAGAGAAGAAATACTGTTTCCAAAGTCTGCATCATGTGGTGGCAAAGCAACAAAGTGAAAATATGGCAAATAATACAAACACTAAAAATGCTAAAGTGTGCAGTTTGGAGAGCTAATGGCAAACAAGGCTAGAGTACTCAGAAAACGTGTCATCAAAAAAACAAAACACAGCTTTCCTTATGACGTTATGCACAATTGGTGCATAGTGAGTTCCCTAGTAACGACTTGCCTTATCACCCTCTACCTGTTTTTATTTAGTATTGTTTACATAATTTAACAAGCTAATAAATGCATAAAATACTCAGTGAATGATAATGGCATCCATAGAGAAACTGAGTACCTGGTATATATGTTTATTTGATGGGAAGAAATTTCCCCACCAACAAAATCATTGTTCATTTTCTCGTATCTGAAACAGTCAGTAAAATGCAGTGGTAACTGATAGCTCCCATTCCGTAGTCTAATAAGGACTGTGATCTTTTCTAGCAATATTCCTCCGAACATGAAGCAATTTTGGTAATAAACATCACAAGCAGCAGATGATTAATTAGGAAGGTAGATGAAGCATGATCTGTTTAGAAAAATTCCATTTACTTTCAGACAGGAATTCTATAATAACAATGATGTCTTTCTTCATAGAAATATATTTGTACATAGACTATTCTGTTAAATAATATCAATAGAGTCGTTGTCAGTTTCACATGCTGAAAATGGAGCGGGGAGACAGGTTCTTTGCAGAAAAGGATTGGTCTGCTGTGTGCACTGTTAGAATGATGAAAACGTGTCTGGCATCCCCATCTCTGGAGCCATACCAACATATTTCAGTGTTACGTGATATATCTACACTGTGTGGTAAGCCCATCTTCTACATATACAAGAGCAATGTTACAAAAATTATGAACATAAATCAGTGGAGAATGAATTAAACAATAGCACAACAGGTGAACTAATCATTTAAATCCCTGGAATAGTTCCCTGAGAATTGCCCATCACTCACTGTTCTTTGCAATTTCCTTGAAATATTATGGTAAACATCATATTTCCAAAGAATATCAATTTTCCCTTACAAGTACATTTTATTGTAAAAAGAGCAATAGTTCATGACATATGAATAATAAAAATTCTGATCATCTCTTTGCTACCTTCTGTTTCTGTTCCATATACAGATATGTGTTTATTTTGCATGAAAATACGAAAAGACTATCAAATTAACATGCACCATGATTCTCTAAGTGTATTATCAGGTTCTTAAATTTAGAAATAACAGCAATAAGCAAAGAGTAGGTGAGAGTAAATCCATAATTTTCAACAGATCTTCAGCCCAGAGCTACACTCTCTTTGAACGTGGGTGGGTTTTTTTTGTTGTTGTTTTTGTCATCAGGATTTCAAAAAATTCATTAAGTCAAGTCAAGGATCAGTTCACTGTAATAAATCTATGGTTTTCTTAAGCTTTCAAGATTTAACATAGATAAAGTGTCTTCTTGTTATGAAAGGGATATTGGGAGCTCTATTTCCACATTTTTTTGCTCTTCTACCCACCTTTTCTGATACTCCTAGGAACTAGGATGCCTTGCTTGACAGAATTAGATGAACATTATGAAGAAATTTGTACTGGAGAGGTTGTAGCTGGTATTGCATGATTCTACAGAGACTTCAGCTTGGTACCTTTCACTACATGTGAAGGTTTTCTTTTTCTGTATAGAATTTTTCTGAGATACAACCAGGTGAACTTTCACCACTTGCTGATATGTTAAAAGAAGATTTTTGTGGAGATTTTCTCTACGCTGGGAGGACAAAAAGTCTGTTAAAAAAAATCAATTTTTGTGACAGATTTGAGTGAGACATGCTCTTGGGTGTTTAAAAGTCTAGACAAAGTCATTAATGATCAAGTGTCCTACAGTTTTAAAATCCTATATATCTATCTTCAGTTACAAAGTCCATAAAACTCAAAACTCCAGCTATCATACATAACTCAAGGTTATAAAATAACAATGTAGGCAATTTTTCAGTATCAATCTCCGACTGTGTTTATTTAGCTCTATGTTCACTGTCTATGAATATGTGCTAGATTAGACCCATAATCCATAAAGTACATAAAACAAATTAGCGAAGGGCCCTGACAAATGCTATTATAAGTGTTAACAACCAAACTGTTTTAGAAGTGGGTGTCTTTGCTACAGGTCATGAAGATATTCAGAAGTTAAGACATCAATATCAGGTTTCACTTGGCAGCACTTCTGTGGGAAACCTTCCTTATTCATTAACCAATAAAATCCAGAGAGAAGTGACTGGAGCATTTGTTGCTTTTACAGAGAACCATAGTTTAGTTTTCTAGACCAACTCTACTTCACTCTTATCTGACACTCCAGTTTCATGGTATCTGATGCTCTCTTCTGACCTTCAAGGGCAGTACACATGTCCATGGTACCCTGTTCTACAAATAGACATCTAGGCAACAGGTAAAACACTCATACAGATAAAACAAATTCATCTTACAATAACGAAAAACTCACAGGGAGAATTTTCTGGCTCTGGAAGCTTCATTGGTATTTTTTTGCACCAAACAAGAAGTTAGACTTGATTCAGCAGCTAATTAGATGTGGTCTTTGAATTCTCTCATGTTTTACAAGGACTTAACTTCCTCGGTTGTACTGTAACCATCATGGGAGATGAGATAACTGGAAGTCTTGTCAAACTCTAAGGAGTACATAACAAATATGTTAGTTGAGAAGACATGCATACTTTATCACATAACAATTCAAAATTTCTTTAATGACATGTATTCAGTTATCAGAGATGATAAATATGAATTTTTATTATACTCCATAATTGTTACTTTTTATCATCCAATTAGTTGTTGACTGTCTGTTATAACTATGTGTGGCCCATCATACTCCAGGAGCTCAGACACAAAACAAATCTTTTTAATGTGGAAGTAGAGCCTAGCTAGGTATGAACTAGTTTTCTCTACTTATACTTGCAGTCAGTCTTTTAATGAAAATCCATCCGTGATATATACACAGAGAGAAGTGTCTTAGACAGGGTATGATGCAAATAGGTACAATTTTGATTGGAAATTTGAAAGTGAAATTTGAAAAATTGGCTTTTCATTCATTTTTGTGGCTTAACTGAATGAAGATGCTTTTCTTCTGCAGCCTATTAATATACTATCCAAACAGCACCAATACATGTGTTGCTTTACTTACATTGCTGTAAAGTCAAGAAGTAGAGCTAATTTCATATACAGTTTGCTTAAGACTCTTGACTCCCTTTTTTATGAAATCCTGCTTTCTCTCCTTTAAGCATAGAATTTGTTTGCAACCAAAATGTCATTACAACAAAATCATCGTGTAATTTCAGGCATAACATGTATGTATGACAGTGTTATTCCCACCAAGTATAGATCTTTACTGATAACTTATCCTTAAATTAATACCTGTGTATGAACAAACATGTGCTTATGCCTCCCAAGGGAGGAGACTTGCAATGAACTTATACTAACTAAAAGTAAATGTAGAATGTGCGTCAGTTCAATTCTCCACTAGGAAAGCTAGGGAAAAATTTACAGTGACCTCATATGACAAAAAGCTGATGATTTCCAAACACAAGTCTTACATTGACTTTAATGTAGGTAATTATCATTAACCTCAATTCATAATGATATTTTGAGTGCTGAATAATAACTCAGAGGCATGATTCTTCCAGACTTCAGGCTTTAGGATTCGAAAGCATAAGGCACTTTATGGTAATGATGATGAGATGTGTCCCCAATGGTCACCTCATCAGTGACAAGGTCATTTCTAAAACGTATCTGCATAAATATATGTGGAGTGAAGACCAAGCATAAATATTGGTTTTGCTTGATAAAGCTTAACAGTAATTACTGAATCAAAAATGTTATAGAATTTAAACTTAAAAAAAAATACTGTCTAAATGTGACCAAGTGACTGTTGAAGTTTTGACAACTGAAAGCAGGAAGAGGCTACCGTGAACATAGCATCATGAATCTAAATCTCTTTAATCTTTCACAATTGGTATTATAATGCACATAAACCAGGTTCTAAAACATACTTTACAGCAATGGTGGAGATAGAAAGAGAGCATAAAATCATTAGTACAATCTAAACAGTTCCTGAAATAGCTATTAAACCATGTAGTTTTCTACGGCGCAGAGAAAACTGAAAATATGTAAATATCAGCCTTCAGTTTAATCAGTGGTAGAGGAGTGACCATGGTGTCATAAATAGGAGCAGTTGAAGGAAAATGGCTTCTCCTTTTGTGAGCAAAATCTGTTTCAGTTTGATACAAGAAGAGATGAATTTATATCACAGAAATGAAAGTGCACTTTGGTGAGGCTTATTTCATGTGTAGGGAAGAAATTTTCTGTTCCTTAGAGACATGCCTATAAAAGGGGTTTCTGTCATCGGGTGGTAGTGGCAAATGCCTTTAAGCCCAACATTTGGGAGACAGAGGCAGGTGGATTTTTGTGAGTTCGAGGCCAGCCTGGTCTACCAGAGCTAGTTCCACGACAGGCTTCAAAGGTGATATTGAACAAACTCAAGCCAATTTAGGAGACTTCTCAAAATATACAACCTCACTGGAGAACAATTAGTGTCTGTAGAGCATGTTGACATTGTACATAGAATTTATTTTATGAATCAAATATTTGCAAACTATAATTGATGACAGAAAGAGATTTACTACCAGTTATGAAATACTTTTATCAATAATGTAGAGTTGAGTGATACTAACTTTTTACATGTGTGTTCATATGTATTGGCATTTATCTGTTTAGATTGCTATAGCTTCTATTTACATTATTTAAAAGTGATTATTAATTATGAGTGTACTTGAGCCAATCTAAAATATATTTTGCAGGCTGATGAGATGGTTCAGCAGGTGAAGTATCCTACCACCAAGCCAGATGACACAAGTTCAAACTCCTGGGCATACCAGATAGAGGTAGAAAATCACTCCAGCAAATGGACCTCTGATGACCACACAGGTACGAAGTATGTATGCACACAGAGGTATACACATATAATCAATAAATAAGTTAATGAATAAAATTGTAAAACATTAATTACAAAGTTCATTTTGCACCATAATTTTCTTGATTCTTATGGACACAACTTCTTCAAACAAATATGGATTCTTATTGCTAAGTTAAAGTAAATAATAGAAACAAAGTATACAACAATTCTTTTATTACAACTTATCTTCCTCTAAATTAAAATTCAATAGTATTATTTCTTTGAATTAAGTAATTTAATCAGTTTTAGAACTAGCTTAACTGATTCTGGCTTCAAACATCTAAAGACCCTTGTATAAACTGGTTGAATTTACTCACAAAGAAAAGCATTCTTATTAATGCAACATATATTAACATGTATAATTACTTTGTTGTATATGTATAATAAACATGAGACTAAAATTTCACATATTTGTTGCATATCAAAGAGTTCTACAATATTACAGAATTGAGTATAACATAGACTTATTTATTTGAGGATAAACCTCCTAGAAGGACAACAACCCACAATCATCTGTGTGCGCTGGTAACTGTGAACTGAATCCAGCAGAAAAGAGGGCCATGCATGATCCTTGTCTGCACATATAGTACCTGAGACCACGCCCATAATGGGCCAGTATCACAAAGGTTATTGACTGAATGCATTCCCACATCACCTCCCCCTTTTTTCTAAATAAGAGGGTTCTAAGCCTAATACAAAACTATATAAAATAATAACAAATATTAAGTAATGTCCAGGCAAAAGAAAAGGCCAAAGCAAATGTAAAAATTAGAATTACAGTCAGCATGAACAACATCAAGCAATAAACATATGCTATATGTTTCAATAGTTATTCTATCTTAAAGCGTCTATGTCTTATATTTAAAATCTTTGCCTAAGTCATGAGTAGAAAGTCACTATGACTATCTAGTTTTCAACCCCATCTAAGACCTGAGAAGGGAAACAATATAAGAAAACAGGAAGTGCACTATAAGCAACTTCTAAAGCTATAGACTTGACAGAGACATCTTTATGCTTGGACAGTCACCCAAAGTTCTTCTATAGCATTGGAGCATCTGTTTTCAGCCTACTATCCCATAGTATCTGGCAGAGTTTTCAGTGAAGCAGGAAATTTGAAAGACAACAAAGGAAATTGAGCCTATAGTTCATGATCCTAGAGAAGCTAAATAAGGTGAACACAAAGAAATACATATAGTTATCCTCCTAGATATTGGATGCAGACAAGATTGCTGGGCAAAAGTTGGGAGCAGGGGGGCTGGGGTGGGTTGAAGGGAACGGGAGATGGGGAGAGAGAAAGGAGAAGGGGGGATTGGGGAGAGCTTGGGGGAATGGGATAATTGAGATGGAGAAAGGATGGAGCAGGGAAGAAGATATCTTAACTAAGGGAGCCATTTTAGGGTTGGCTAGAGTCTTGACTCTAGAGAGGTTCCCAGGTGTCCAAGGGGATTTCCCCAACTAGGTCCGTGGGCAGCAGAGGAGAGGGTGCCTGAACTGGCCTTCTCCCATAGTCACACTGATGAATATCTTGCATATCACCAGAGAACCTTCATCTGGCTAGGGATGGAGATAGAGACAGAGACCCACATTGGAACAATGGACTGAGCTCCCAAAGCCCAGTAGAAGAGCAGAAGGAGGGAGAATATAAGAAAGGAAGGCAGGACCGCGAGGGGGGTGTCTACACACAAAGACTGTGGAACTGATCTAGTGGGAGCTCACTAATGCAGGCTGTAATGCCTCTGAACAGAGCAGGTGATCAAACCAGACTCTCTGAATGTGGCACACAATGATGGCGGACTGAGAAGCCAATGATAATGACACTGAATTTTGTTTCTACTGCATATACTGGCTTTTTGGGAGCCTAGTCTGTTTGGATGAACACCTTCCTAGGATAAGGGGGGTCTTAGACTTCCCAAAAAGCAGGGTACCCTGACTTCTCATAGGATTGGAGAGCGGGGGGGGGGGGTTTGGGGGGGGGGGGAGGGAAATGGGTGGATAGGAGGAGGTGGAAATTTTAAATTAATTAATTAATTAATTAAAAAAAAACAAAAAATAAAGAATATCAATTACAAAAAAAAAGTTTTGCCTATATTGGCAGTTTGACAATCACTTTTTTCTGTGTCCTGCAGAATGTCTGACAGACTCTTTCATGAAGCAGGAACCCTGAAGGATTGTCTCACCTTTTATCAAGTTCAGTGGTCTGGTCATTTTTCTGTGATCCTGCATATCTGTTTGTACAACATACTATCAAGCAGTAGGGAAGAGTAGTTTCTGGCCTTGATACTTTGAAGGCAAATTCCATAACAAGTTTTTTTGATGCCCATCAATCTCTCGGAAGAAATTGATGCTGCTGGAAGCGGACACATCTCACTGTTGAGAAAAGTCTAAGCTCATAAAACATAAAACATTTTAAACATTATTTTCTGTAGGTCTTTGAAGTGTTGAACATTGTCTGTCTAACTGAAATATATCTCTCTATATCCAGAAGACCTAACAAGACTAAAAGTTTATTATAGATGACTATTAATCTATAATTTTTAAATATACATTTCATTTTTATTTCTTCATTTTTAAATGAGATGTATAAATATAAATACCTCAAACTGGAGTAGAAATATACATATAACAAAATTGACCTTTAATTTGTGTAAATAAACCAAATTTAATATCAATGTAAAGTATTCATTACTATATCATATTCCTCCCTTCTTTTTTTTTTTAGAAATTGACTGTAATAATCAAACATTTTTAACAAACTTTTTAAAAATGAAAATAAACATTTATAAACAATCATTTTGGGAATTTGGGAATCATTTTCTACAAACTACTTCCTGCTGGGTTTTGGGCAAAGTATTTTTAGGGTTCATGGATACCTTTCAGGGGTCTTTTTTCCACCAAACCGCATTAGCCTAGAAAGAATCCACAGGTTCTCATCTTCTGTGTAAACAAAAACAGAATCTCTTTTCCAAAATAGAATATCCTTAGACTCAAATTTTGACATCAAGATACCTTTAGAATATATATGCTGGTTTAACTTAGCAGCCCCCACAATCAAATGTCTCTCTGCACATTTACGGTCATTAATGGTCATTAGCTCATTAACGGTCAAAATTTAAGGAAAACACAGAAGCATACATTATCCAGACTCTCTGTATTTTCCATCGTTACGTGGATTTTTATGTTACTTTTACTGTCTCTTAAAAGACCTTGATTTATTTTTTAAAATTATTTCTTTCTATAACTGCCTACACCCATGTTTTTCTTAAACCTACAAACTTTTGTTAAACACATTAGGACCCATCTAGATGTTTATTTTTGTCTGGGTCTGTCTTTACTGTGTATCTGGAATCCCTTTTTGATCACTGTTGTAAACTGTTAAGCAAGCATGGCTAGGACCAGAGTAGTCAATTTGTCTGTTGAATCTACCCTGCTCAGCTTTCCAACATGATAGAGGTCCTTTTACTACAGCTCTGGAAGCCATGTTTATCACCCCAACTCTGGGAAGCTGTTGGATCATACTGCCACAAAGTAACTTGCAATGCGATGTCTATAAACCCCATTCAAGTGTGCTGTAGAAGGACCTCCCGAAAGAGCCAGACTCATTCCTGGCACTGGCAACAATCAGGAAGCTGTCCCTTAAGGGAGCCGCACAGCATTTGCTGCTAAAGGAGCTACAACTCTGCTCACTGTACGCAAAAAGAGCCTCTCTGAAAATATGCAGCTACCAAGAAGCTCCAATTCACTTCTGGTTTTGTGGGTCTAGAAGCATTTTTTATTGATTGATTTTTATTGAGCTGTACATTTTTTTTCTGCTCCCCTCCCTTTCAACCCTCTCTCAAGGTCCCCATGCTCCCAATTTACTCAGGAGATCTTGTCTTTTTCTACTTCCCATGTAGATTAGATCTGTGTATGTCTCTCTTAGGGTCGTCATTGTTGTCTAAGTTCTCTGGGATTGTGATTTGTGGGCTGGTTTCCTTTGCTTTATGTTTAAGAACCACCTATAAGTGAGTACATGTGATATTTGTCTTACTGGGTCTGGGTTACCTCACTCAAATGATGTTTTCTGGCTCCATCCATTTGCCTGCAAATTTAAAGATGTCGTTATTTTTCCTGCTGTGTAGTACTCCATTGTGTAAATGTACCACATTTTCCTTATCCATTCTTAGGTCAAGGGGCATTTAGGTTGTTTCCAGGTCCTGGCTATGACAAACAATGCTGCTATGAATATAGTTGAGTATATGTCCTTGTGGCACAATTGAACATCCTTTGAATATATACCCAAAAGTGGTATTACTGAGTCTTAAGGAAGATTGCTTTCTAATTTTCTGAGAAATTGGCACACTGACATCCAAAGGGGCTGTACCAACTTCCATTCCTACCAGCAATGCAGAAGTGTTCCCTTCTCCCCCCCTCCCCAACCTCTCCAGCATAAGTTGTCATCAGTGTTTTTGATCTTGGCCGTTCTTACAGGTATAAGATGGAATCTCAGAATTGTTTTGATTTGCATTTCTCTGTTGACTAAGGATGTTGAACATTTCCTTCAGTGTTTTTCAGCCATTTTAGATTCTTCTGTTGAGAGTTCTCTGTTTAGGTCTGTATTCCATTTTTATTGGATTATTTGTTCTTTTGATGACCAATTTCTTGAGTTCTTTGTATATTTTGGAAATTAGACCTCTGTCTGATGTGGAAGATCTTTTTACACTCTGTAGGCTGTCGTTTTGTCTTGTTGACCATGCTCTTTGCTTTACAGAATATTTTCAGTTTCAGAAGGTCCCATTTATTAATTGTTTCTCTCAGTGTCTGTATTGCTGGGATTATATTTAGGAAGTGGTCTCCTGTGCCAATGCGTTCAAGAGTACTTCCAGCTTTTTTTTTCAAGCTTTCCTATGTTTTATGTGAATGTACATTGCTGAACTTTGGGAATCATTATGTAAGCATATCAAAAAGTTCTATAATAGTCCAGAATGGAGTATAT